AGTAGAATACAGACATATATGGGCCAATCTACAGAATTGGTCCAAAGTCAGAGTTGGAAACGTCTTGAGAAAAAATAAATAAATAAAAAAAATATTTATGCAAATAGTATAATATCCAAGGTACGCATTTCTAGTAATTGTGCAGTTAATTCTCATATTGCATTTTCAGACAAAATTTGGAATAGTTGTAAATTCAGACAAAATTTGGAATAGTTGTCCTCTCCCCAAATTAGTCACTACTGAAACACAGTAATAATAATTTAATTAGAAGGGTTATATTGACCTATTAAGATTTTGCTTACATCTACATTTTAAATATATATATTTTTGCTATTTTCTTTTTATTTGTTTCAGAGGTTAATCAATAATTACATTTTTATCAATATTTCAAGTGTAATTTATGAGATTTGTTGTATTTTGAATTCAGTTTGGATTCATAAGTTTGAATATACATCGAACCAAAAACTATCATAACATCTTAGTTGATAATTCAGTATACTTTATTTTTGACAAAACATCCCATGTTTCGGTAGTGACTGCACATTTTCGGTAGTGATAGTAATGCTTTGGTAGCAATCACATCACATTACACAATTTTAACTCGCATACTAAAACATACAATTTGCATAACTGTACTAAAATTTTGTTTCTTTCCCCCAAATATGAGGATTATGTGTTCCCTTTTGTCACTACCGAAACAATGATGACATGTTTCGGTCGTGACTGTTTCGGTAGTGACAATTCTATGGGATAACACCCAGAAAAACAAAGATGTCACTACCGAACCTCCACCAAATGTTTCGGTAGGGACAATTTTAGATACTTTTGAACCTAGCTCAAAGATGCTAATCAGCACATGGTTAGCTAGCACTAGTGGTCGACCGATATATCGATTAAGGCCGATATTTGACATTTTTCAAATATCGGCATCAGCCGATAAGTTTTTCTGTTTGGCAGATGTGTTCGAGACTTTTATTTTGACGGCGCGTCAGAGTTTTATTTTGACGGTGCTGAGAATGGCTGCGGCGGCGCCTGAGCACACAGTGCTCACATTCTCCCTCTTGTTCGCTGTTGTCATTCAGTTCTGTCTAATACGGATAGAAGTATATCTAATAATCATATAGAACTGTTAAACAAAGGAATTAAAATGTATACAAAAATTTAAATATTTATTTATTTGTGAAAAATACATTGTCATTTAAAGTATAAGTATGTTTATTTTACAAATTTATTTTTTAATCCATTTTCAAATTATTTAACATTTCTTAAATATTAATTAAAATAAACAATTATATCGGCTTTATATCGGTCATCGACCACCCTGCTTTCCAAGATATCAGCATCGGCTGTCAAAAAAACAATATCGGTCGACCACTACTGGTTAGTTGCCAATAGGGTGT